TTACGTTACGGCGTGCGTAACGTTAGCAATTTACGGTTACGGAAAAGCCTTACGATTTTACGGTTGGTGCTGAACTGCTTTTTTAAAATTGTGGCGGAAAGATTCGCTGTAACGCACTCCACGATAGCTCAAAGAGTTGTCAAACTCATTTCTTGTGGCCCAAATCCAACCGAGCCGCTGAGAGAGTAGCCTTTGGTTTCGCATTTGCCACTCGTCTCCTTTGCAGATTCCGTCCGTCTTACTTCCAGGCTGGTCCGCAACTGCCAAGCCGGCCGCGTCTACGGATGCGCATTCACATAAAATAGATTCAGGCCACTTGAATGGTCAATCCTCGTTTTGTACTCTGCCTCTTCGTAAGACTCGTTACAGGCTGTAGCTTACAGCGCCGTAACTTTACGATAGGGATTTGAAGCGTAACCGTAAAAGTGAGTCGTAACAGTCCGTAACATGATCCTGCCCATTTATATTCCGGACCAGCCGATCCGCGGGATGGTGGTGCCTATGGTCATGAGGATTGCTTACCAGGATTTGCCTTGCACTATGGCAACGGCAAGCGATACCTAGCATACCGAGTATGCTTCGGATGCCTGTTCGATCCAGAATCCCTCGAGTCTTTCCGCGGACGACAAATCCGATCATTCCGTACGTCAACGTTATACGATGTCGTGGCGAGTGGTATACCACACTTTTTTGATGATCTGTTGTTACACATCTCAATGGAAGATGCATGCAAGATTGTGTTCTGACTATCGATATTATTATCTCACCTATCGTTGTGTGGATATACAATCTCTGTCTTGAAATTTGCTATACTCGTCCATCAATCCGTACAATCCCATGTGGCGTCTCTGCACCCATACATTCGATAGCCCATGCCAGTGCTTGGCGTCTTGCTCTCTTACGACCAGAGGGGGCTGGTGATCGATTGCAACCCACGGTCTGAACTGGAGAAGGCTGAGCAACTGTTAGAAGCGGATTGTTGGTCTCGCCAAGTCGTTCACCGTATTGCTGGTGCCCTGGGGATGAATAAGGCAGGACTTATAGATGGGCAGCGTAATGTTTTTCACGGTTTACGTTACGATGTGCGTAACGTAAGCAGTTCTACAGCTACGAAAAGGCCCTACGACTTCACGGTTGGTGCTGAACTACCTTTTTCGTTTATCGATATTCGGGCGAGCGCGATACAACCTGCGCTGACCTTTTTCGATCGTGTCGTCACTATAGATCCAATTTAGTGACGGGATAATTTGCAGCCCCTCCGGGAATCCAAAGAGCATTAGATTTTACATCAAGAACTCGATATCAGCTCATCTCAAGGCTCATCTGATGTTGATTCAAACAGAAGCGTCCAGTCGGCATCGACTACGCAGTCTCTTCAATTCTGCCAGGGCTATGCGTAATGCATGCTAATGAGGCTCTCTACATGACAGGGGCTGAATGGTACATAGGTACTCGGGCCAGACCCTCCGAAGCATCTCAGAAAGTCTTCACCATCGACAATCCCGTGACCTCCAAGAACTGGCCACCTAATGTCAAACAAGAGCCCATTACTCCAGAGTCACATCAGAGTGTTGGGACTAATCTCGACGCCTTTTTTTACAGGTATTGTAAAACATTGATGGAGCACTTGAAGCTGAAGGAGATCAATGAGATGAAGAAGAAACGAACCTTCACAGTAAAAAGCATTACATTTGTCGTCATTTCCGGGGACCATCGTCCAGATGCCTAGGATGAACCTCGGAGATTTGGTAGAAGTTCGGTATGAGATAAGTCGAAGCAAGAAAACGTTTGGGACCTTTCAGGTAGTATTGACGATTGAACTCTCTTGATTATGATGAGCTTGGGCAGAGGTTTTCGATTGGATTCCCAACTCTATAGTTCGAAAGGATCTCCAAGTCCTATCTATTCAATGTCTTTCCTCCCTACGTTCTTTCTACCTGTCTCAGGGTTACGTCATACGAACGGCTAATAAGCTGCTAGACAGTACTTTCACACTGAAGAACTCTTATGATGGCATCACAGTGGAGCAAACAGTAACGATTTCGTTGACTTGTCATAGTCTCTGAACTGAGTCGCCTCAGCGCATTTTTCAAATTGCAGTTCCCTCGGTATTCTCCACGATTGCTCGACGTACGAGTAGTAAAGTCAATCGGTTCTTGTGAACGCGACAGGCTTGATAGGCGGCCACGGAATAGAAACTACAGGTGGGAAACTGACGCCACTCCCACATCTCCTCATCCAGTGTCGAGTTCTCACACAGTAGATATCAGATACCAATGGTGGTACTATAAGCGCCATATGTACTCGGAAGGATACCAAGTTCGATGGCAAGCTATACCTCAGAAATTCGGTACTTCTTGGGCCGTAAACACTGAGTGGTGTATCGAGCCGTGTGGGCAATGCGTACACGTTATCTTCATGTGTTGGTGACAGTGTTGGAAATATGCATACAGTCAGTCCGACT